CTCCTGTATCAATTACATACTTAGTTAACCCAGTTCTTCCAAAAACATTAGAAGTCTAAGTAAAAACATCATCGTTATTCTGAAGGAAAGTTCTAACTCCAATTTCTGAATGGAGTCTAACTTTTCAATATTAAAAACCTTATTATAATTATTCTTATCATCAAAATAAAAATCAGTCAATTTATCAATCTTGTTAAAAGCATTATTAGAACCGAATATGTATGATTTTTTTGCATCAGGGCTATAGTAGAGAAGAGGATATCATTAACTAAAGACTTTACTAAATTAACTTTAAAAATATTATTATTATCTTCCTCACAGTCAGGAATAGCAGAGAACTTAATAATATTATTATCAGAAGTTAGGTGATTGGGATTTATAGAAATAACAGAGTTTATTATAGAAGGATTATTAATATCAAAGAGTTTAGAAGTAGTATATAACTTGAGAATTGGATTTAATCTAGTCTTTATAATAGCATCATTATTCCTACTATAATATTTATTAAAATATCCATATTTATCTATCTTAACAAAGTTAAAAATCCTATCTTCAAGCTCTTCCTCTTCAAACTCTTTATCAGTTATCTCCTCCTCTGAATCATTATCTACATCCTTATCTAATTCCAAAATTTTAGATGGGCAACTTTTCTCCAATAGTTCATGAATTAAACAGCAGCACTTGATGAGGATTGTAATTTCTTTACCTTTCCAAAATAAAGTCATCTCCGAAGACTTCCAGTTAATAATCGCATGAGTTTTAGCAAGCCAATTATTGCCAATGATTGTCTGATAGGAATTAGCATCAGTTATGACAATATCAATAGGAATTGTCACTCTGGTGATTACAAATAGAAAACTTGAAATTTTACTAGCAGCTTTTTTACTCTCACTGTGAATATTCATCATATTAATGGTGAAGGGCCTTTTAACCTTCATACCAATCTTTGAAATAAGTGTGATAACACAACACTTCTAGAGAACCCACTATTAATAATAAGAGGAATTATCACATCAAGAGCTTGAGCATCACAATACAAAGCCATTGATTTATTATCTGATTAGAGACTAAGATTACTCTTAGATTTTCTCTTTATATTAGACTTTTGTTTTTGCAATCCTTTAGACAATTCAACTCGCATAGAAAGTACTACATGAAGCAACTGGCCGAAGGTGATATTGGCAGGTTTATTACAAAGATCTGTGACTATTGAATATAAAGGCACGAGTGAAGATATTTGAGATAAAACTTCTGAATCATTCTTCTTACAAGAGACTATAGTTTTTTTAGTTGGTTTATTAGAAGCTCTAGGCTTATTACTATCTTTATCTTGCTCTGGTAGATTAGGTAACTCTATAAAACTTGATTCAATTAGTTTATTTGTTCTCTCAGACTTTACCCTAACATGCTTATGACTTCTAATATCATGCTGTTTAGGGGTGGCACCATTAGCAAAGAAAGGAGAGTCTTCTTTAGAAATATGAACAAAACCTTGATTGTTATTATTAGGCTGTGGGTTAATATTAAGATTGTTCATTGAATTAAGCAAAGTTTGTAAGGCTTCTTGTTGAGGTTGTTGATTATTATTAGGATTATTCATATTGTCATTATTTAAGTGAGGGTTATTATTGTTGTTATTATTATTATAATTATTATTAAAGGGATTCCTATTGTATTGAGGGTTCCTATTAGGGTTATTATTATTATTATTATTATTATAATTATTCTTGTTGGGACAGGCAAGGGCAATATAACTAGTTCTTTCACAACTAAACAGATAATATTATTTTAGGAGAATTATGAGGAAGTGGTCTATTATTTTTCTTAATCTGAGTTACAGTGCTATTAAGGACTTCGGTTAATTTTTCAATTGCAGAATCAAGACTATTAAATGGAAGAGGCAAAGTGACAAATGGGTTTAAGGAATGTCTGGGGGCTATAGTGGGTATACTATAAGAAGTACTATAGGTGAGATTCTGTTTATATATATTTTTAAATGCTTTAGCTCTATCATAAGCTGCTTGTAAAGTATTAGAAGTAAAAGGGGCTATAGCTATAGATAACTCTTGATGAAGTCTATTGACAAAGATTTGAGCTTTAATTGTATCCAAAAATCAGGCAGGACCAGCCTCTATATGTTAGAAAAGCTTAACAATTAGCAAATAATAGGTGTTCACGTCCTCAAAGGGAAGTTGTTTACGCTAGATCAGTTTGGCAAACCACTTGCTTTCAAGAGCTTGAGTTTAAAACTGGGCAATAAATTCAGCACAAAAACTGTAATTAGGATTATGCCGATTGCTCTATCTATTAATAGCAAAGTGTTGGCCTTTCTGAGTTAACCACCAACTGGTGGCTAGACCCTTAAGATGAGGAACAACTACAGCAATCTTATAAGCATCACCAACTTGATTAGCTTCAAATGCTTTCTTAATATCCTCTAACCAAGTTAGCAGATCCTGTTCTCCTCCAGAAAAGTCAAGGTAGGATACATGATTATTCTCACGTAGTGAAGAGGCAGCTACATTAAATGTTAAAGGCGAAGTATAATGAATCTGATTTACTAGATGTGCAATTTGAGTAGCTAAGTTATTAAGGGCTTGGGCTTGTTCACGTGCCATTTTCTCTTTAGAACTCTCAGAATCAGAAAAAGTATAGTTTTTAGGTACTTCAGTTACAGTGTCATCAGAGTCCTCACCTAACTCAATTAAGTTGTCACTATTAGAGTCAATTTTCTGTATATAATTACTGGTGTCTACTTGAGGGCCTAAAGGATCTTCAACAAACTGATTACTTTGATTATAAATATTACAAAAGTTATTAAGAATATCCAGATAGTTATCAGGGTTTATAAAGTAATGAAAGCTAAAAATAAGATTCCTTATAAATAACTCAGGAAGATTGTTTAAAGGATGATTACAAAGATGTTCAAAAATTTGAATAGTAGCTTGAGAATGATTAGTGATGTGATAATTTAAGTTAACCCAGTTAGTAAAAGTTAGAAATGGAATAGATGGTTGTTCTACAATAGGATAACAAGTAGTACAAGAAAAGTCTAAAAAATTTTGATGAAAATAATTAACAATATATTGACTATTGGGAAATGCTCTATAATATCTATTATGAAGGTCATTTAAGCAAAGGTAAAGGTCAAAATCTGTCATATGGAGAGTGTTTATATAGTTTCACTCTACACAATCAGCACCATATGTTACTATCAAGTGGGAGAGCAGTTTGGCTATAAAGCCTGATTAGCGTTGATAGTAACAGGAAGGAAAATTGGTGGAGCTATCAACACATGGAAGTAATGTTTATAATTATGCAAGGTATAATTTAAGGGTGGATGATAATACGAATTGGAAGTATTAATTGTTAGATAGATTAGGGACAATTATGGCACGGACTAACAATTACAGTAGGGATATATAAGGATATGTTAGACAATTAGATATATGCGCA